GTAATCCCATCCGACTGGTCTCAATCCTTGATTGTCCCAATCTACAAGAAAGGACAAAAGTCTTCTTGTGACAATCACAGAGGAATAAGTCTAACGAATATAGTATCTAAAATATTGGCCTCAGTAATACTTCGACGCTTAACGAAAGCTCGTGAAGAGCAGACTCGAGAAAACCAGGCTGGTTTTCGACCTGGACGTGGCTGTATAGACCACATTTTCACACTTCGACAGGTCTTGGAACACAGACACACATTTAGGCGTCCTACAATAGTTGTTTGCCTAGACCTTAAGGCGGCATTTGACTCGGTGGATCGTGAGGTTCTGTGGCAGTGTCTGTCATTGAAAGGTGTACCACAGAAGTACATTAACCTTATACAAGCCCTCTACTCGAACACCACTGGTCGGGTGAGGGCTTATGGCGAACTGTCACCGGAATTCTCTACATCAAGTGGTGTCCGTCAGGGATGTCCACTTTCTCCATTCTTGTTTAATTTTATCATAGACATGCTCCTAGAAATTACCTTATCCTCGTCTGAATTTTCAGGAGTAGACCTTCTTCCAGGTGGCTCGCTTATTGACTTAGAATATGCCGATGACATTGTCCTACTTGGTGAAGACGCTGACAAAATGCAGAGTCTTCTGACTACCCTAAGCAACAATGCAAGCATGTTCGGAATGCGGTTTTCCCCCTCGAAATGCAAAATGTTGCTTCAAGATTGGGTTTCATCGGCACCTGAACTAGTGATAGGGAGTGAAGTAGTCGAACGTGTAGACCGCTTCACTTATCTTGGGAGTCTCATCAGTGCCGATGGCCTGGTGACTGACGAAATCTAGGCACGGATACAGAAGTCTCGATTGGCTTTTGCCAACCTGCGTCACTTATGGCGTAGGCGAGATATCCGTTTGCTGACTAAAGGACGAGTGTACTGTGCAGTAGTTCGCTCCGTCTTACTTTATAGCTGTGAAACATGGCCAGTGAGAGTAGAAGATATTCGTAGGTTACTGGTTTTCGATCATAGGTGTCTTCGAAGCATTGCTCGTATATCGTGGGACACCCGAGTGAGCAACGCTGTTATTCGGAATCGGGTGCTAGGTAAGAATGGCAGATCAATCGATGAAGTATTGAAACTTCACCAGTTGAGGTGGTTGGGACATGTGTTGCGTATGCCCAACCACCGGCTGCCTCGTCGAGCCTTGTTTTGTAGTGTGGGAATAGGTTGGAAGAAAGTTAGGGGCGGCCAAACCAAAACATGGCAGAAATCCATGAAGTCATTGACAAGTGGACTTAGCCATGTCGGTAATTGTCTTCTACGTGGTTGGGGTCCGCGAGATGATAATAATCGATGGTTAGAGACCTTGAATGACATGGCTCAAAATCGTTCGCAATGGCGCCAGTGCATTTATTCTCTGTGTTCTCTCAAATGCTAATCTTCTGGATTCTTCAACCCCTCTAGTTTCGTCTCTCTAAACTTTTCTCACTGAATCATACTTCTTGAGTAGTATCTTCTAATCCTAACCTCTCCGATTATTTCTAATTCCCTTACTACCTCTTCTACTATTGGATTTGAATTGACGATTACTTCTCTCTGCTGATGTGGTATGGCAACATGAACTGATGTACTTATGTACAAAGTTCTACGTTGCATCTGACTGACTGACTGACAGTAGCATCTACCGAACTGATGGATGCTCGAAAACTCATCCCACCTTGCTCTCAAAATGATGAAGAACGAAGTCAGCTTAAGCGCAGGCTGGTGAAAAGCCTACGCGACGACCGCGAACAGTGGTAGGTGGCGAAAGAGATGGAAAAGGCAGCGGCGATTGGCAACAGTAGACAACTTTTCCGACTTATAAAGGAAACTGGTATTAGGAATCCGAATGTGAGTGAGACTATCTCGGAAAAGGATGAGACTATTATTTATTCTCAATCCGGGGGATCGGATCGATGGGGAAAACACTTTAGAGATCAGTTCAACTGGCCCTTAGCCACACTTCGTTTGCCCGTGATCTCCAGTCATCCTGAATGGCAAGTCGACGTAAGCCCTCCGAACCCTTATGAAGTAGAAAAGGATATAGGAAATCTGAAGCGAGAGAGAGCAGCAGGACCCGATAGATTGACCCGTCAGATTTTTAAGGATGGTGGTCCAGTTTTCGCAGCTAGATTGACCAAGATCTTAGGTAAAATCTGGGAACTGGACGCAATCCCATCTGACTGTTCTCAGTCGCTAATTGTCCCAATCTATAAGAAAGGACACAAGTTTTGTGAAAATCACAGGGGAATAAGTTTAACTAATATAGTATCTAAAATATTGGCCTCAATAATACTTCGACGCTTAACGAAAGCTCGTGAAGAGCAGACTAGAGAAAACTAGTCTGGTTTTCGACGTGGACGTGGCTGTATAGATCACATCTTCACACTACGACAGGTCCTGGAACACAGACACACATTTGGGCGTCCGACAACAGTCGTCTTCCTGGACCTAAAGGCGGCATTTGACTCAGTGGATCGTGAGGTTCTGTAGCAGTGTCTGTTATGGCCAGTCAGAGTAGGAAATATTCGTAGGTTACTAATATATTACAAGAATATTATCTTCAAATCCTAATCTTCTCCATTACTGCTAATACTTCTACTATCTCTCCCACTGTGGGATTTGAACTGACAATTGCGTCTCTGTGCTAGTGTGGTATAGCAACCTGAACTGATGTATGTACGTACATATGAAGTTCTGCGTTGTAACTGATCGACTATTCATTCTTTATGATTACACTTTATTAATGATGTTTTGTTCCTAATGAAAATTTAAGTTATTATGTATACTACAGTATGTTTTGTTATTATGATTTTAATAGTGATGAGATGGCACAAGAATCAAGCTGTACATCCAGGTGTTGATTCCACTGAAGTGTAAATAGTCTTTAGTTCTCATATCTTTGATCACTTTATTTGTAAAGTGACTTATTCTGATGTTGGTAATATAAGCGTGTTATTTTGTTAGAAGTAAAAATGGCTTTTAGTAGGTTGGATTTTTTTGGTATATCATCACAATGATTTGATCTCATTGAGCAACCAACACCTACCGTCTATCGATCAGAATCTTGATACACTGAATTCAAAGTTCAAACCCCTCTTGACAAAATCTTATTTTTTGCAACAACAATTAACAAATAGTTGGTGATAATTGGAATGTTATTAAATTAAATTAAATTAAATTATAACATGACTTTAATTAAGTTCATAATACTTTATGCAGTAAATTAAAACTTTCATTAAATGTTTTTTTCTTAGTAGATAATATTTCATTAATAAGGAGTGCAAATTTTTGCATTAAAATGTTTAAATTCCAAAATATTTTGTCTTTTACTGGTTAAATGTACTCTGCTGAAATTTTTAATAGTATTGTTATTAAATATAGTTTTTTTCTCATTGCACTTGTATTCTGTCATCTGTGGGTATATTTCTTTGTAGGTCTATACAATACAAGTTTTTATTTATCAACAAATACCACTTGATCACCATTATTCATCATTCAGATTGGATTATATTTTCGTCTATATTCATGGTCAACCAACATGCATGCTGCACATGCACATCGCTGCGTTGATATACAGCGCAAGGATTCTCACTGTTGCCAACAGTACTGACCCCTGCCCCTTTCGGGTACATACATGTTGTCCGGTTTGGTCTGCAGACAAGTCGGACATCCAAAAAGCACGCACACCAGCAGTGGCCCCTGCCCGGGCACTTATGAATCAAGAAATCCCACCAACCAAACCGCAGCCCACAATCCCCAATCGGCGAGGGCGGCAAGTTGGGCTTATCCTTCCGGATAAGGGACCCCGTAGAAGGTTACCGAGCCACCCAAGCAGTGCACTAACCAGCAGCCATTCCAACCGTCTGGCCTCCAACTGCCTTGCGTTGATACAATCGATCGAGGCCCATCTTACCCCGCATGAAGCTAAAGATCGAGTTTGTCCCACAAGGTCAGCTAGAACGTACACCCTTCCATGAGGAAGATGTCATGGACTCGACCAAACGCAAGCGCTCAGCCAAGCAGGGTTCATCCCACAGAAGTGGGCAGACATCATTGGTGTTCAGTACCCTTTCAGCACTAAAGCACCGGAACCCAACTTAAGACCCTTGTTTAAGGGGCCTCGACGCCAGTTCACACACTACATCGGGTGCAGCATGTAAGGGACAACCACATAGGGTCGACGTCAGTAGTCTAGGATGTCTGCGGCTGCTTCCCCAAACATAGGGTCCAGAGCCGCCCTCGATCATCCTACTACATCCCTTTCAACGGCGTTTAGCCGCAGCGATGTATCCACCGCCACGTTTCTAGCGGGACCACGAAGAGGTAGCCGCCACCACAACCCCCTCAAAGGCACCAATATTGCTTAACCCGAGGCCACCTCAGGCATTCTAAGGCTACGCCCCTTCAATTAGATGACGAGGCATTTGGCTACCTTAAGAGAGTCATAGTTACTCCCGAAAATATAATCCAGATTAGATTATATTTTCGTCTACTTATAAGTTTGTTATAAGTAGTTCTGTTACGCGTACACGTAAACACGTCAATTGATATGCTTGAACTATTTCGAGTTTACTTTAGTCAGTAAACGTGAGCGAGGGTCGATGATCCGGTGACACGACAGGCTACTCTAATCCGAGTGTCCCAAACCCCACTGAATAAAAGAAGGAGACGTGATATGAAGTAGAACTTGTTGTATTCTACAAGCATCCAGAAAGTACGAAGTCCGAGTCTAGAAGGGGATAAGGATCCAGGTTATTAAACGTTACAGATAATGCTTATTTATAACAGTTAGGTCGAATAGGGGACAACATTGAAGTCTGTGACGGTAATAGTCACGACAACCAATAGGAATTAACTAATAGGAACTGACCAATAGAATTAGACTTTAAAAAAATAATTCTCTTAGGATATTTGATGAATATTCTAACAAGTTCTCAATATTTTCTTGTATTCGGCATTATTTTTTAGCATTGATAAAGTATCTCGAATTCTTTCACCAACATTAATTATTCACGGGACTGATGATGAAATTATTGGTATAGATCATGGCAAAGAATTATATTCTCGACTTACTAATCCTCTTGAACCAGCATGGATTGAAGGAGCAGGTCATAATGATATTGAATTATTTTCTGAGTATGCAACTCGTTTAGATCGATTTTTCAATGAAGATATCGTGGATGCACAGTTTAGCCGAAGTCCATCAAATATAATCTCTTCTGTAGAAGAATCTCTTCATGTTGAAGAAACTCCAGATCTTAGTCAAAAAATATCACCTTCATGGCAATCAGATCATACGAAATTTTCTAGTATGTTAAAAAATAATGGTATTTCCAGTTCGCATTCATCAACTTGTGATAATATCTCTGAAGTTCCTGATGGTATTGCTGCTATGAATACAGCAACATCCAGTGTATCGACAACGTCTACTTCAAGTGTAACAGCTGCACAAAATCTTGATTTTGTGGCTGATGGTTGTGACACTGCAAGCATTTCTAAGGACAATAATGACAAGGATAACACAAATAATACAGTCTCACCTTCAACTGACTATCCAGATACTTTAAATAATAATCCAAATGGTATACCATCTAATTCTAGTACTACTCAATTACTCAGTTAATGATTTACGCTTTCTTAACTACCATGGTATGTGTATTTTTGCATTGAGTTAAATGTAGTTTTTAGTCAATTAGGTTTCTTTGTTAATAATGTGTTGTTTTTGAATGATTATGTTAGATTTACTATATCTCCTGTAAGTAAATGTCATAATCGTTAATTTTCACACATTGAAATTGATTGATTTATTGGGATTCAGTGCCTTGTATGCCATTGTTGAACTGACCTGCATAGGTAGCTGCAGACTACCTAGTTAGTATCTGCGAGTTAATCATAGCTGTGAGTCTGTTTGTGATTATGATCAGTTGTTCACGATAATACAAGTGCATTCGCTCTTTGTCTTCCCTTGAATCCTAAGTTCTTAAATTACCTTATAAATATTCGCCGTTCCACTAATCCATATATCTCTAACCGGATATTCCACTGTCTAATCGTTTCCATTATCACGCATAGTGTTACTACTTGTATTATTCTAGCATTTATCCTGAGAATTTCATCTCGCTTTGCCAACAGGATGTGAATACTTGAATCAATGCATACATATATGTGCTATTTTTGCCGTTTTGTGTAACTGATTGGCTATGCTATGTAATAAATGTTTCGTAACTGCAAAATTATTGACTGTATAACGATTACTTGTAGTTTAGTTTGGAATATTCTGTAATATACAATCATTAATATTCAATTATTAATCGATCAATATATCAGTCCTAATGTTATGTTTTCTAAGTTGATCTATGTTATGTGATGAATTTATATATATATGCCGATGACATTATCCTACTTGGTGAAGACGCTGACAAAATACAGAGTCTTCTGACTACCCTAAGCAACAATTCAAGCATGTTCGGGATGCGGTTTTCGCCCTCGAAATGCAAAATGTTACTTCAAGATTGGGTTGTATCGACACTTGAACTAGTGATAGGGAGTGAAGTAGTCGAACTTGTAGACCGCTTCACGTATCTAGGAAGTCTCATCAGTGCTGATGGCCTGGTGACTGACGAAATCTCGGCACGGATACAGAAGGCTCGATTGGCTTTTGCCAACCTGCGTCACTTATGGCGTAGGCGAGATATCCGTTTGCTGACTAAAGGACGAGTGTACTGTGCAGCAGTTCGCTCCGTCTTACTTTATGGCTGTGAAACATGGCCAATGAGAGTAGAAGATATTCGTAGGTTATTGGTTTTCGATCATAGGTGTCTTCGAAGCATTGCTCGTATATCGTGGGACACCCGAGTGAGCAACGCTGTTATTAGGAATCGGGTGCTAGGTAAGAATGGCAAATCAATAGATGAAGTAATGAAACTTCATCAGTTGAGGTGGTTGGGACATGTGTTGCGTATGCCCAACCACCGACTGCCTCCTCGAGCTTTGTTTTGTGGTGTAGGAATAGGTTGGAAGAAAGTTAGGGGCGGCCAAACCAAAACATGGCAGAAATCCATGAAGTCATTGACAAGTGGACTTAGCCATGTCGGTAACTGTCGACTACCTGGTTGGGGGGCGCGATATGATAATAATCGATGGTTAGAGACCTTGAATGACATGGCTCAAAATCGTTCGCAATGGTGCCGGTGCATTTATTCTTTGTGTTCTCTCAAACCCTAATCTTCTAGATTATTCAACCCCTCTAGTTTTGACTTTCTCAACTTTTCTCACTGAATCATACTTCTTGAATAATATCTTCTAATCCTAACCTCTCCGATTACTTCTAATACCTTTACTACCTCTTCTACTATTGGATTTGAATTGACAATTATATCTCTGTGCTGATGTGGTATGGCGAGATGAACTGATGTACTTACGTACGAAGTTCTACGTTGCAACTGACTGACTGACTGATGAATTTATATATATATGCGTTTGACTATTCACTTTTAGATAAAACACATTATTCTAGATGAGAAAGATATAGCCTACTTGTGAACGTAATCATCTGGAGTACTGTTAGATGTAGATGTATGAGGGCAGTCGTTGCTTTCTATTTCCCTAAACTTTTGAGAGATGCTTCCTCTTGAGATACCTAAAAAAGTAAAATGGTTTGGAACTGATCTTGACAAGCTGGGAATATATAAACGATGCCTATGAGACAACTGTTTGATACCAGTTTCATATGGGGTTTTCTTGTAATCAACTATCCTCGTATGGTACATGCTATTTACAAGTTTGTATACTAGTAGTGTGCAGTGGAGCATCGCCTAAAAGTTGCTATCAGATGGAGAAATATCTGAAGATAGAAATGTGTAGTGCGTATATATTGTATAGAGTAGATTCCAGACCATAAGAGATGTGAGAGAAGACTGTTAATAAATAACCTATTTATATTGCAAATGCATGTTCGAAGACAATGTACATAATTTATAAACAAACTTTGTCTTCTCCAAATGTCGATATTGCAGTCAGTCAGTTGCAACGTAGAACATGTATGTACATAAGTTCATGTTGCCATACCACATCATCACAGAGACGCAAATGTCAAATCAAATCCCATAGTGATAAAGATAGTAGAGGTATTAATGGTAATGAAGAAGACTAGGGTTCGAAGATATTATTCAAGAAGTATAATTAAGTGAAATAAGGTTAGAAAGACAAAGGTAGAAATGCTGACGAATCCAGAAGATTAGTATTTGAGAGAGCTCAAAGAATAGATGCACTTGCGCCATTGCAAACGATTTTGAGCCATGTCGTTCAAGGTCTCTAACCATTGGTGACTTTCGTCTCGCGGACCCCAACCAGGTAGCCTACATCTACCAACATGACTCAGTCCACTAGTCAGTGACTTCATGGATTTGTGCTATGTTTTGGTTTGGCCGCCCCTAACTTTCTTCCAACCTACTCCTACACCACAAAACATAGCTCGTCGAGGCAGTTGGTGGTTAGCCATACGTAACACATGTCCCAACCACCTCAACTGATTAGTGAAACTTCATCAGTTGAGGTGGTTGGGACATGTGTTACGTATGGCTAACCGCCGACTGCCTCGACGAGCTATGTTTTGTGGTGTAGGATATTGCACCTGGTCTTAATTGCTGCGTAAAGTACACTTGTACTTTCAAAGCTTCTTTACCTTATCAAGTTAAAAAAACCATATCTTCTCTTTAATTGATGAATTATGCATTATACTATGAAAATATTTTGAGTGAAAGTAGTGCATCTTTTTTTTTCTAATCCACTTAAGTGTATTTATATACTAAAATCGGAAGGAATATGCTTATGTGTTTACATCATTACGTACGTGATGTTATTGTTTACATGTTATGTTTTATAATTACGTTACATGCATTTTTCATAACACGAAGAATATTACTTCTATGTAATTGAGGGGAGGGGAGGCCTTATATAATTTATGCTTAGTGTGTGAAGAATAGTCTTTTTTTTCTGTAAAGCAGCAGACTAGTGTGAATTTTATGTTTTTTTTCTTCTGTCACAATAATTGCACTGCATTCATGCAATGATTATGATCGTGTGGGGGGGGGCATCAATAATCATGATGAATAAAGCATTAATTACAATAAAGTGTGTGTAAATTAACAATCATGCTTAACTTGATGTGCCTATTGCAACTCTTCAAATTGCAAAGTTTTAATTTAAGTATTTGCTTAAATTACCATACTTAAGCATTGATTTATGTTGATGATAAAATTATTCAGTCTTACGTGAAAAAGTTTTCAAATAATACAAATCAAAACATCAATGAGAATTCTTTTTTTTTAGGCATTACCTGTGTTCATGAACTTGATCATAATCAAAATATAAAGAGTACTCATGTACTGTTGTTTATTAGCCTATCATTGTCCTATCAAATGTGAACAATCCTATAAAAATTAACTAAATAACTCATATTGCATTGCGGGGTTGTTGTGAAGATTGTTAAGTTTTATTTGTAACCATGAATCGATCAATGTTAGACCACCATTAGAAACCTGGAAGCACTGGACGGTCGTTTCGTCCTGGTATGGGACTCATCAGCAGTGCGCATCCACGACTCCTGCACCCCGCAGGATTCGAATAAAACTCATAAAATAGTCAACAGGGTAGTATTGTAATAACAATGATAGCAGATATCTAACAAAAACCTCTATTACATTCGGAAAAAAAGTTATGCAATGATTACAGTGAGTCATTGTTTGCTCAGATATGGACATATAATAAAACTGTTGACTTTTCAAATTGAGTGGTTGAGGCATTTGACTTTCAAGTATTGGATTCCTTGTTTTAATGTGGGTGGTTCGAGATTTGGACGTGATGCTCATTAACCCCCTGCTCACAAACTGACCAATTTGAGCGAGGGAGAGAGAGGACAAGTCAGCTACAATGTTGCCATACCACAATTGGAATCCCCTAGTATTAGAGGTAGTAAAAGTATTAGCTGTAATCGGAGAGATTCAGTCAGTCAGATGCAACGTAGAACTTCGTACGTAAGTACATCAGTTCATGTTGCCATACCACATCAGCACAGAGATGTAATTGTCAATTCAAATCCAATAGTAGAAGAGGTAGTAAAGGTATTAGAAGTAATCCGAGAGGTTAGGATTAGAAGATATTATTCAAGAAGTATGATTCAGTGAGAAAAGTTTAGAAAGTCAAAAGTAGATGGGTTGAAGAATCCGGAGATTAGGATTTGAGGGAACACAAAGAATAAATGCACCGACACCATCGCGAACGATTTTGAGCCATATCATTCAAGGTCTCTAACCATCGATTATTATCATCTCGCGGACCCAATCAGATTAATAATTTTACTAGGATCCTGTATGCGCGTTTCCGAGACGCAGCATACATCGATCGAGCGAGATTCTAAAGTCCCAGCTAATGATGACTGTTGACACAATGTCCGTACATTAAATGCTCCAACATGTAGTCTAGAACGAGGTTTCAAGAGACCAGAAATGACGTTTCGTGAACTCGCATCATTTGCATTAGCGGTGCAGTCAGATAAGGGACTGTGAGTAGAGTTAGTTGTGGAGAGAAGAGAGGTATGTGTGGGTGTAGGAAGGATTTGATTTTGACCAATCTGGTCTCTCGTGCTGTTACGGGTATGAGGGCGGTTGTCACTTCCCGGCTTCCCACACCGTGGAAGGTTGTTTCTTGAGGGACCTGCAAAGGAAGATAGATTAGTGTTGGTCTTGGAGACCTGGGAGCGTAACCGCAGAGTCCAAGGGACAAATGATTGAGGCCGGTCACGCACAGCCTTTTTATGAAAGGTTTTTTAAGTATTAGCTCCGCTTGTAAAAGCCCTTAGTGGGCACCCTTACCGACGGAGGCGGAAATCCGTGAGGTAGGGTGAGGTGTGACATTTTTAGGGTCGACCTTTTCTAACCCTTCCTTCCTTGTGAGAAGGGAGCATCACTGCAGATGCTGGTTGTCCGAGGGAAACACCTTACTGCTGTCACACCCCTCTGCAGTCAGCAGTACGACTTCGCCCTCAGACCTTGGGTAGCTGCTTTTAGTCTCATCGTTCTCCAATCGACCTGCCTGTCATGGTAGGACCTGCAGGAACATGTGTTCCAGTCAATATAGCTCAGTTGTGTCATCACGATATGCAAGCCTGACCATCACGTCAAGGTAGCAGCTTCTGTCGGGAATCGGAGAGATTAGGTTTCAAAGATAGAGGTGATGAAGCATTCAGAAGATTACAGTTTGAAGATTACAGAACACAAAGAATGGATTCACCTGCGCCATTGCAAACGGTTTTGAGCCATGTCAGTCAATGTCTCTGACTATCAGTTCAGTAGATGTTACTGAGATTCACGGCCTCTCTCTAACTGTATGTATAACCTCACTGGCGAATATCACTGCCGTTTTCATAGCTTTTTGGATATCGTTTCAAGCTACAGAGAGAGTAAAAAGGTGGAAGAGAAAATCTATATGGTGTTTATAAATGCCCATCTCTTTCCCATAGAAGATGAATACATTTTTCTTCTTGGTACATTTCTTACTGGCTCTCTATATTATTACTGTAATAAAGTTTACGTTGTTTTGTGTAGGGAGAATAAGTTTTATATATATATATATATATATATATATATATATATATATATATACTCTGAGTTAAATGTTACAATTTTATAACTTTTATTGCCTTTTCTGACAACATCATCACCTCTCACTTTTTGAAGTAGCCGAAAAAACATGACGCTACTTGAGGAATCCGTACGATAAACTGCATATCTTCCTCATCGCTTCACTTGATTTTTCTGATTAGGGTTTTTTTTGGCGAGTTAATTTTTTATGGGATGTGGCCGTCAACCCCACACCCAACCCTCCTCCTTTTTATCCGGGCTTCTGGCCGGCATTAGCGCCAGAGGGGTTGCAGACGGAAATATCATTTCACTTATCTACTTATTTACATGTACATGTATATTCTGTTCTATAGTTAATAAATGTTTCTTTTTCTTTTTATAGATAAACTGTTTCAATTTTTTATTCATGGATTTGAATGATGGCAACAAAAGTTTTTTGTGCCTGATCTCTTTTCAACTGCTCACAATGTTTAGTAATAATGACAAAAACAAACATTTTTATTGCATTATGTGAATGTATTGAAAATTTATTTTTTAGTTGTGAAGTTCTCTTTCTTTTTTTTTCTTCAAAAAAAATTTACTTTCTTTCCATTGGCTTTCGATATGATTGTTGCATTTGTTTTATTATATTCTCCTTGTTTTAGTTGCAATCAAAAATAATTGTAAATTTTATTATTATTATTACTATTATTATTGTTATTATTATTATGAATCAATGGCTAATATTTTTCAATTGGATTTTTAATGTCTTATCTACTGTGTAATTAGCCATTGATGTTCATGTCAGTTTGTTTATTATTTTGCTGTTGTGCATTTCTTTCAATGAAGTTAAAAATTACAGGTACTACTAGTAGTAGTAGCAGTAGTAGTGAGTATTATAGCTGTTTTGGCTGTTTGCTTGATTTTAACTGTTTTGTACTCTCCTATAACAACTCTATGCTGATTGGTGATGAATTAATTGTAAATGTGTGTGCATTATTAATGTGCAACTTATCGACTGTATAAAATGCATTGCATATGTATGCGCCCATATGTGTACGACGTAATCGATGAGTCAATAGAAAACAAACAAACAATCGATGTGTTTTAACAAGGATTGCAATTGATTGTGACACAATTTACGCGTTCCAATTATATACATTTTAGCTAAAATAAAATTTCAATGAATTCTACCATTTTTTTTTTGTGTAATTGTTTCATGTGTTTGTTTCTATTCCTGTTAGTTTCTTTTTTTATTTCTATCATTCAGGTTACCGTGGTTATGTATGTATGTATGTATAAAATGTCATGTTCAATGTTTTATATATTTACTAGTTAATTTCTCTTTGCAATATGTAACAGTAAAATTTCTATGGCTTGTTTGTTTGTTTTAAAAAAAAAACAAATTTATTATTTTACCATAAATTATATTGTTAATTTTATTCTCAACTACTCACTTTTATGTTATGTTCAGGAAGAATATATATGCAAATACATATATGCAGCATTTTGTTTTATTGTAAATGTGTAGTAAACTCTCATCTCCAGTGATATGTTTTTAAAGATGAATTTTTTTCTTGGCTTTTTTGTAATGAGCTGTGTAGCACTAGTTTCGTGACGGTCGGTATCCAACGTTCAGACAATCGTTACTAAATAGCGTCTGACGGTTTACAAATCAAAAGGTGAACACAAAGCGTTGAATACGTACGTTTATTTCCGGAACACCACAAATATATGCCAGTAGACTACAAGCACACAGAGCAGGACTAGCAAATTAGCGAGCGAATTGATGAATGAATTAAGAAGATTCAAATATACATATATATACACATAGGGAAATGTCCGAGTCATCGAAATATTTAAGAGATTAACAATAAAGTGAGTAGGATGAAAATACGCGTAGTTATTAAGCCATGTTTAGTCAAAGCAACTCATACAAACCAGACAATTGTAAAAGTCAGTGGTACATGTAAGTTGTTGCTAAGCCAATGGCTTGGTTAAATAAAATATTCAAAAGGCTTAACCGAACGAAATATGAACGAACTCAAATGTATGTAGAAGCGCTAGGGCTTGATGTAAATGTGTGGAAGGACAACGGTTTATTCATTTGATTTCCATAGTTTATATGAGTGAAAGTCAAGTACGCTTCCTTCGTTCTTGAATGTAAAAAGAAGATGCAGTAACAATATTTTGTATAAGTAAGATTTTTTCTGCTAGTGACAAAAGTGATAGTTTGCCCAAAGTACCTCTAGTGAAGAGCACTTGATTTGGAAATATTTGTCAGCATAAGATAACCTTATTGGGTTTAGTTGCATCCACTAATTTTTGTATGCCTACTTTCTCCACACTATTTCCACGAAAAGATTGCAACTATGTGTATTTGACATACTTGAATAATGCAAAAGCCGAGTGTTGCAGGACACGATCAGGTCACTGAGTGGTAAACTGGGTGTGCGGTAATGATTCATTATATGCTTCAACAAACTAATTTTAAAGATAGCTAAAAGACATTGTTCTTTGCAAATACTTAGGTATGTTGGTTGAAAAAACTCATAAACAACACGATCTTGAAAACCTTATCGATCTCATAAGGAATGAAAGTCGGTGACAACTGTAGCGGATTTATTTTTAAGTACTAGACTGTGAGAATAGCGAAAAACAAACTATGACTGCTTTTTATTAGAACAAAACAATGAGATGCAACCCCATCTCACATACAAAGTGGGATAATGTAAATTGCAAACAGTATATAGTCGTTAGAAGATTTCATTTGGGTTCAAATCGCTTATCAGACAATCAATTTCTCGATGAAATATCACTCATTAGTAATGTAATGTTGTGCAGCTCGAAATGATTTTACTGCTTATGCGACTGTATTCATATTACTTACGCCCGTTACCCCCAATTGAGCATAGGCCACCAACCAACTTTGTCCTGGGCGCACCTTTCTAGTTCTTTCCAGTTTTTGTTCATTCTTCTCATGTATTTCTCGGCGTAATGTGTTCTTTGGCCTTCCTCATTTCCTTTGACCGTGAGGGTTTCATGTGAGGGCTTGTCTTGTGACGCAGTTAGGTGCTTTTCGTACTGTGTCTCCTATCCACTTCCAGAGGTTCTTCCTGATTTCCCCATTATTCCCTCATCTCCCGACCTAGCCAGTTATCATATCTTGATCGAGTGTGTGCATGTTTATTTTGGCTGTCACATGTGTTGCCTACTATTGGCTTGCTGTAGATGAATACTCATGCCTCATCGCACTGTATTGGCTCACTTGCCTTCTCCATTGCGCTATGCTTGCACACTTCATTCTCATGTCTGGCTGACTGAATGACTGCACGAAATCAGTTCATCCGCAAAACTTATTTGTCTTCTTATAACCGTCATCGCACATACGAGGTTTGCCTTAGTATGACATCCAACAGTTCGTCCAAAGTGGAGTCAGATCAGAAGCTACTAAAAACTATCAGGAATTTTCGCATAACTTGTGAGGTGGGGAGAAGTATTCAGAATACTGAGGAAACGATTACTTGCCATTGGTGGTACTTGACACAAACTGAAAGTGAAAGATTAGCTTTCGGAGAGATGTAGCTGTATTGGGGTCGTATAGAATACCTTTAGGAGCAGCTGAAGGCCTGAGTGCGAAGCCCTACTGCTGACAGCAGTTGGGATTTTTCCTCAGATAAAGTGCATCAGCAGAAATACTGCCTTCTCACAAAGAAGGGATTAAAAAGGTCTACCCTAAAAGTGTCAGACCTAACCTACAAAATTTCCATCTCCGATTCTAAGGCCCTAAAACGATCTGAGCTAACACGTTCAAGATGTCCTACAAAAAGACATTGATCGACCGGCTCCAGGTAGTTACCCTTTGACTCCTTCCATCACACTTCCAGGGAGCCAAGACTAACACTTTGTCTTTAGTTTCCGCGGTGTGGGTAACCGAGGATTAACATTCGCCTTCATACCCCAAACAGCAGATGGAATCAACTTCCTCACAGTCGAATCCAGCTTAAAATAGTGGCTGGTGCTTCAATTCTCAAGTAGGTCGGTCGAGCGAAACTGAAAAACACCTGGGTGGATCTGACAGTGTTGCGACTCATAGAACAAATAATGGTGACCAGTTGCTGCAGCTACGCTTACATAGTCGTCTGTTTCTGACAATCACCAACTTTAAGCATAAAGAACAACACTTATTGACGTAGTAACTATCAATATCGACTGAACGCTGGACCGAACTAGATCACATCCCTCTCAGCCTACAGGCTAGATCAAATTGTCACAAATGCTTTCACAATTACTGTAAAGTTATAGCAGTTAAATTAAGTATAAGAGTCATTTTCTGATTGCATATTTACACCATTCAGAGGGCAACTAGAAAACCATGAAATTGATGATTATCTCGAGGCGGCTTGGAATGATATTCAGAAAGCAATAACATCTATCAGTAAAGTAAATCAAAAGGTTTGGAAAGTGCAATGCATTTAAGTGGCACCCACTAAGTTGAGAGATGCTCAGAAAATCATCTTATTTGGAGGAAGCTTCAGCACAAGCTGATGAAAAGCCTACGCAATGATCGCGAACAATTAAGGCTAGAGAATGCAAAAGAGATGGACAAAACGGTGGCAATAGATAACAGTGGAAACTATTTTGGCCTAATAAGGAACCGCTATTTGAAAACCAAATATCAGTGATACTTTCTGGAAAATAATGGGACTATTTTCACTCTAAATCCGGGGGATTGGATAGAATACTAGAAAAGTGTCCTACTGACCTTCCATTATACATCAGTTACCCTCGATCTTAAATCAGCCTGAGAGGCAACTTAATGTAAGTTCCACAACTTTTGATGAGATTGGAAAATTTATAGGCAATCTAACGGGAAGAGAGCAACAGATCCCTTTGAATTAAACTCTGATAATTTAAAGAATGGTGTTCCAAGTTTGGGAGCTCGATGGACTGAGATGTTGGCTAGATTCTGGGAACTGGATGCATTCCCATCTGACTACTCTCAATGATTGATTGTCCCAGTCCGTAAGTAAATGACAAAAACCATCTTATGATAATCACCGTGAAATCAGTGAAAATTTTTCAATGAAATGCTTTTAGAGATGATTATTTTCACAAGTCAACCTTCTGCAATAAGATTCCCTTAGAATATTCGCATAAAACAGTTCTGTATATTGAAGATGCTGAAAATAATCAGTCTTCCGACCACATTAAGCAACAGTGCAAGTATGTTCCTGAAGCGATTCTCCCAATCCAAAGTGGAAACGTTGCTCCAGCAATGTCTTGCGTTGGCACCTGAATTAGTGATAGGGACTGAGGTATTTGAGCATAGCGACTACTTCACTTGTCTTGTGAGTCCCATTACTTCCGATAACATAGTGTCGGACGGAATCTCAGCATGTGTACTGTTTTTTTCTAAATTGCGTCACTCTGTATAGGTGAGATGTTCGCCTGCTGATCAAAGAACGAGTCTACTGTGTATATGTTCTCTGTGTCCTACTTTACGGATGTGAAACATGTGTAGTAAGAGTAGAGGATATACTGGAACGCGAACATCAGCATCTTCAAAGCATCGCTCGAACACCCTGGGACCATCGAATTTGAGATATTGGGGTTAGGAGAATGGTATTAGTAAGGAAGGTAGATCAACTGAAGCAGTAAATCTCCATCTGTTGAGGTGTTTGAGACATTTGTTCCGTATGCCCAACCGCCGACTGCCTCGAAGAGCTTTAATTTGTGGTAAAGAAGCAGTCTGGAAGTAAGCTAGGGGTGTTTATAGTGCGTTAGTTTTCGACGTGATGGGTTCGCCAACCCCGACCTCAACCCCCCTCTTTCATCCGGGCTCGGGACAGTCAGTGGCCTCAGATGCGCTCCCGGGGGAGTTTTAAATTGACAGGGTTAAAAAAATCATCAAACTCGGCGGTGGAAAGATTTATGAGCATCTCACAATCTCACTAATTGGAAACCGCACCCCGAGGAATTCATAGGGAGGGCACGAATCCACTCCTCTGACAGTTCTAAAGAAGATTGTGTCTGCCCTCAGTCCTATCTCACATTACAAATGCAAACTACAGGTTTTCGCTCGGTCATCAATTCTCGGAACCTGTTACACAAAGAAGTCATGTTCGTATCTTCGAATGACCATGTGAAAATAAGATAAGGTTATCTGTTTTCCTTCTGTCTTGTATATGTGAATCTTGATTAGCATCCAGTCATTATTGAATATTAAATGCGAAGACCTCGATTTTCAGACTGTGAGTTACACGGGTTGGAGCTGTTCATAACACGTTTCTCAATGTGGTTCTTAGCCAGTCGACAGATTCTCATTGTCTCAGGGTCAAATTGAGTTTGTTTTTTTCGATAATTAGTTGTCCATCTACCGATTCATAATCTTTTCCCACTCTGACCGACTGGTAAATCGTTCATGCAGTACAGTGCATACTCTGTGACCTTATGTTTAATGATTACGTCTTATTTTTTAGGTTAGTACTTCATTCACAAACGAAAAAAAAACATTTTTAATTGAGAGTTGCACTACCTTATATCTGTGGTTAACTCAAGACATTTGTTTCTAAAAGTTCTTGCTTCAGTTAAATCAACTTTACTGTCAGAATACATGATATCAAGCTAACCATATGATTTAAAAGTCACTCTCTGTTTCGTTCTGGATAATGACTATGGAAACGAGCTAAAACGAAACAAAGTTACTCGCATAAGCAAGTTTTTAATCATATGGTACCGTTTCTGATCAGATTCCTTTAAAATACGTTGATAGGTTTTCGAAGCCGAATATTTTCTGATAAGTGCTCGGGATGTTTCCAATTACTTGCCGATGTGGTCTAAAGTCAGCTGCATTTCACTTATCATAGAAGTCTTATCAGATTCAGTGGACTGACAATTAACAAGACGTTTGTGTGAAAGCCTCGATTTTTCTTGATCAGATTGTTACTTTAGCTGTGTACTTCCTTAAAATCATCGTTGATCTGATGAAATTACTTTAGGCCTAAATCAATGCCAGTTGTTCAATTCACTTATTATTTACTTGTCTATAACTAGTCACTTAATAAAAACGAACTGTCAAGATATCACTTGCACTATAGCGTACTGACGAATCATTTTTTTGTAGGAACGCAGTGTCGTAATTGTCGATTTTAGAATTAGTTGGAAACTATTTTCGCGTTCGTCAATAAGGTTAATACTCATCTTCTGAATGCCCTAATCTAATCTAAATCAAATATATTATGACTATAAGCCGTCCAAGAAGACTTCTAAGACCTTCTAGACATAGGTGATATAATTTAGTTTTCTGGGAATGTTGTGTAAATAATTTGTTTAGTACTATTACTATTTTCATTAATACCTTTATCTGTAATATTTTATTCATATTTCAGCACATGCTTTCTCAGACAAACCACTCCACATCACACCCTATAACTACCGAAAATTCTATCACAATTCTTTATGGAAGTCAAACGGGCAATGCTCAGATGTTAGCTAAATTGCTTACTCTTCAGTTATATCGGATTTTCGATCTGGAGTGTGTCAAGTCTAATTTAAAACATCCTCCTATTATTCATTTACTATCACTGGATGACTATACGCCTGTATCACGGCTTGCGAAGGAGAAAGGAGTAGTGATATTCGTTTGTTCCACTACAGGTCATGGTGTTCCTCCGGATAACATGTCACTATTTTGGAAAAAAATAATGAATCGTGCTTTGATTCCAGGTCGTTCGCTTCCACCAGATTTACATTTTGCTGTCCTTGGACTTGGTGATTCTTCTTATCCTATGTTCAACGTTGTCGCTAAAAAGCTTTATCGTCGTCTACTTCAACTTGGTGCTACTCCACTTTGCTCTGAAATTGGAAGTGGTTCAGAATGTGAAGAAAGTGAAAATTTAAGCCTTGGATTAGCTGATGAACAGTCCGAGTTAGGTATAAATGAGGTCTTGCGCTTTTGGATTCCAACCCTTTGGCATAATGTTATGAAGTTCTTTGGCATTCCGATTTCAGAACAACTATCTCAGTTTTTCAGTTGGAAAAACATGAACAATCCCGATTTTGTGTTTAATTTATGGCCTAAATATGATGTGATTTGTTCCTGCTCAGTACCGAAGCCCAGTTCCCAATCCAAAAGTGAGAGTAATTTACTCTATCAGCTTATCGAGCAAGTCGAATTCGACAATGAACATTCGTTTCTGTCTAACCCAACCCCAATTAATGCTCAATGGTTCCAGGTGGTACGTTCTAAACGTGTTACCAGTGCAGACCATTTCCAGGATACACGGCTTGTTGAATTGTCTTATAAAGTGAGTGTTGCTTAGTTTTCTTCGTTTTATGGTAACATCTGTTCCATCAAATTGACCTGCCAAAAATGTTTTGTGGGAAAATGTTATGTGCAACTTGATACATTAATAAGTGCTACCGTGAATGGCAAGTAATTACGATGTTTCAAATATAATGACCTAAAGCAAACCACCAGTATGTGAAAAAAAACATGCAGATATAAACGGAAAGGTGTTATCATTATGTCAGTCAGTCAGATGCAACGTAGAACTTCGTACGTAAGTACATCAGTTCATGTCGCCATACCACATCAGCACAGAGATGTAATTGTCAATTCAAATCCAATAGTAGAAGAGGTAGTAAAGGTATTAGAAGTAATCGGAGAGGTTAGGATTGGAAGATATTATTCAAGAAGTATGATTCAGTGAGAAAAGTTTAGAGAGTCGAAACTAGAGGGGTTGAAGAATCCGGAGATTAGGATTTGAGAGAACACAAAGAATAAATGCACCGGCGCCATTGCGAACGATTTGGAGCCATGTCATTCAATTACTTTTTATCAGGTCAATGTAACTATGATATTAATTATTTTGTTGCTATAAGTTTCCTGAATAAGTGAATAAGTAAAGTCATCTAAAATCCATCCGAAAAATTACGTTTGTATAGTCTTAATAAACTTGGTAACTCACTTGTTATTCACACTACCTCAGGTCCTAGAATATAGACACTCGTTCATACGCCCCACAATAGTAGTATTCCTCTACCTTAAAGCGGCAGTCGACTCTGTCAATCATGAGGTTCCCTGGCAGTGTCTGTCATTGAAAGGTGTACCAGAGAAGTACGTTAACCTTACACAACCTCTCCATTCGGACACAACAGGTCGAGTTGGAGCTTATGTCAAACTGTCATTGGAATTGATTACTACAAGTGGTGTCCGTCAGGGATGTCCACTCTCTCCATTTTCCATGCTTTAGGTTTAGCATTATCATCGTCTGACCTTTTAGGAGTGGACCTTCTACCAGGAGCAAGCTTTCTGATTTAGAATGTGCCGATGACATAGTCCTACTTGGTGAAGACGCTGACAAAATACAGAGTCTTCTGACTACCTTAAGCAACAATGCAAGCATGTTCGGGATGCGGTTTTCGCCCTCGAAATGCAAAATGTTGCTTCAAGATTGGGTTGTATCGACACTTGAACTAGTGATAGGGAGTGAAGTAGTCGAGCGTGTAGACCGCTTCACGTATCTAGGAAGTCTAATCAGTGCTGATGGCCTGGTGACTGACGAAATCTCAGCACGGATACAGAAGGCTCGATTGGCTTTTGCCAACCTGCGTCACCTATGGCGTAGGCGAGATATCTGTTTGCTGACTAAAGGACGAGTGTACTGTGGAGTAGTTCGCTCTGTCCGACTTTATGGCTGTGAAACATGGCCAGTCAGAGTAGAAGATATTCGTAGGTTACTGGTTTTCTATCATAGGTGTCTTCGAAGCACTGCTCGTATATCGTGGGACACCCGAGTAAGCAACGCTGTTATTAGGAAACGGGTGCTAGGTTAGAATGGCAGATCAATAGATGAAGTAATGAAACTTCATCAGTTGAGGTGGTTGGGACATGTGTTACGAATGCTTAACCACCGATTGCCTCGTTGAGCTATGTTTTGCGATGTAGGAATAGGTTGGAAGAAAGCTAGGGGCGGCCAAACCAAAACATGGCACATATCCATAAAGTCACTGACAAGTGGACTGAGTCATGTTGGTAGATGTAGACCACCCAGTTGGGGTCCAGTCAGTCAGTCAGTTACGACGTAGAACTTCGTACGTAAGTACATAATTTCAGGTTGCCATATCACATTGGAGGTCTGCAAGACGATAGTAATCGATGGTTAGAGATCCTGAATGACGTGGCTCAAAACCGTTTGCAGTGGTGTAGATGCATCCATTCTCTGGCTTCTCGCAAATCCTAATCCTCTGGATTCTTCATCACCTCTGTCTTTCGCTTTTTAAGTTTATTTCACTAGATTATACTTCCTGAATACTATCTTCAATCCCTAGTCTTCTCCACTACCAGTGATAATTCTACTATCTCATTATGGGTTTTGGAGTGACAATTGTGTCTTTGCGCTAATGCGGTTTGGAAACCTGAACTTAGTACGAAGTTCTACGTTGTAACTGACCGAATTGTAACTCGCGTGATCCAGTGTCAGTCAGTCAGATGCAACGTAGAACTTCGTACGTAAGTACATCAGTTCATGTTGCCATACCACATCAGCACAGAGATGTAATTGTCAATTCAAATCCAATAGTAGAAGAGGTAGTAAAGGTATTAGAAGTAATCGGAGAGGTTAGGATTAGAAGATATTATTCAAGAAGTATGATTCAGTGAGAAAAGTTTAGAGAGTCGAAACTAGAGGTGTTGAAGAATCCAGAAGATTAGGATTTGAGATAACACAAAGAATAAATGCACCGTGACACAGTGAAGAATTGTCGACGCCCTTATATGCTCAGTGTTGTTAAAATTTAATTTTTTTTACCTAACCATTTATTAAATACTTTCATCGTTTAAATTAGGACAGTACATAAATGAATCATACTGTTTTCAGTTTGATCTTCATTAGGCAGTACTCTAACACGCAATAATATTTATATGTATGTATGAAATATATTTAACCGGTCAAGGTAGTTTGAATTAATGATCACAATGAAATACATTATATAATTAAGCATTATATTTAGAAGTATAGATTGATAGTAAGATGACAGGTTTACCAGTAGTAGCGATGCGAATAATGAAAGTTTGAATCAATATTTTGACACAAGAATTATATCAAAATGCAGTTAAATGCACACTAAAATGACAGTTATTAAAATAATGTAGAAAGAAATGTGTTAATAGTTAGCGTGACGTAGATATGCAAAAATCGATGAAGAAAATCAAACAAACAGATGAAAGTATACCGGAGATCGTATGGAATGGTTTAGTTAAATTTACCACATAGCCAATGTCGATAAAGTGAGTTAAAATAGATTTTCGTATTGGTTTTTTTTTGTATTTCTATTGCAGCTCTTACGTACACCAATATGGTTGCTGACATTATAATAAGATTGAAAGTTTTTATGTTGGTAATGTATGTGACTGATTAAGGTTGGCTATGTATGTGTTGGGGTGCACCGATGTAATTGCCTATCGGACAATACTCAGTATTGTTCTACAAGTTGAAGTTGACAGCTGTGTCCAAAGGTCAGCTTGTTTGGAGGTTTCATGAACCATTGTTACGAATGCACGTGATCACGTCAATTTGATATGCTTGAATTATTACGAGTTCCCCTTAATCGGTGAACGAGAGCGAGGATCGCTGATCTGAGGACACGACATGCTACTCTAATCCGAGCGTCCCAAACCCCCATTAAATAGAAGGTTTGATATGAAGTAGAACCTGTATTCTACAAGCATCCAGAAAGTACGAGGTCCGAGTCCAGAAGAGTTTTCCTAAGTCACAGTACGTTTTTGACTAGTGTTGATTTCAGGTATAGTCATTATCTGTTGATACACCATTAACGTAACGTCTAGTGTATCCTGGGGACTGTTCCGTCTCAATTTAGCTCTTGACGCATGAAGCTGTAATATCATTCAATAGTCCTTTGGGTTTGTGACATGGTAATAAATGGCCTTTATTTACACCTAGTATTCTGACCGAATTACGTTAAAGACAGTATACTTGATTAATTACTTCTTAATCATTGACTAAGCTGTCTCTTGCTCACTAGTAAGTAAAATCCAACCCACTTAACTCAATGATTTATAGAAAGCTTGAACTGATAGAGTTTCATTATTCTCGCAATTCCGTTCCGTAAAATGTAAGCTCATTCAAGATAGGTCTGTTCAACATGTATGAAAATCATCATGGTTGTATGCAAAATGTTAGCTTCATCTATACTTCGCATATTGTACAGTAAGTCAGTTGCAACGTAGAATTTCGTACACAGGTACATAAGTTCAAGTTGCCATACCGCATCAGCACAGTGACGCAACTGTCAGTTCAAATCCATAGTGCCAGCGATAGTAGAAGTATTAGCAATAATAGAGAAAATTAGGGTTTGACGATATTATTCAAGAAGTATAATTCAGTGAGATAACTTCAGAAAGAGAAAGATAAAATTGATGAGGAATTCAGAAGGTTAGAATTTGAGAGGACCTGAATTCTTTATCATCTTTCTCTTTCTAAAGTTATCTCACTGAATACTTGTACAGATGCTTTTAAAGATTGACTCATATGAAGGAGATAGAAGTTTGTTCAGATTGTAGATGCAGTGACTACATATTCACCCTGTATCTAATATTTTAAATGTATCAAAAGAATAAGAGACAAATAATCATTGTTTCTTTGAGATCAGATTTTTTGAACTGTCCTTCTCTGTAAGGCTTTTGTTTTTACAGAACAGTGAGGTTGGAATTCTTACTTATATATTGAGATCTCTGTACAAAATATAGAAAAAGATAGATTAGGCGAATTTCACTACCGCCATGTCGTTCAAAACCAACAGTGGGGTTATAAAGGTCTAGTCACTCTCTTATATCCTTCTTTCGTTTAACTTTGTACGCATGTAAGCATATCGCACCTAAATTTTTAGGATATAAAAATTACTCAAATCACATCTGATCAATTGACATTAAGAGTCCATAAGCATTACATGTATTCTTAAACTCAGTGAACGTTTTATGTCCTAATTGAACTGGTTATTTTAATTGTTCATTGAATTAAATTAGTATGTGTGACTGTAAAGTATGGCGTTATTTATTTCTTATCTCTCTTAATATACCTAGTATAGTCCAATGTTGATTTAAAATCGAATGAATTTCGACCTGGTTCTGTGATTTATGTTCAACCTACAAATCGTAAAGAAGATATTTTATCTCTATTTCAACTAACCAATTTGAATCCAACTGAACGTGTAAAAATTACTCAATCTTATCGAAATTTCCCGTTACCTAACCTACTTAGATCATTGAAAGAAAATGACTGTGATATATCTATTGCTTGGCTTGTTACATATTATTTTGATTTGAATGCAACTCCACCACAGTATTTCTTTGTGAATTATTGTGCTTTTGCTGTTCATTGTTTGAAACTTTTAAAAAATCCAGATGGATCAGAACATATTGACAAAGATCGTTTGAAGCTGGAAGTTGATCGATTAACTGATCTAGCTTTTGCTGAAAGTTCTGATGATATTGATGATTTATATGATTATGTTTTCCGTCCTTGTCGACGTGTGATTGAAGTACTCGCGGATTTTCCAGTTATATCAAGTCTTTTAACATCACAGTATCTATTTGATATACTACCTGGACCGATTCGTGCACGACCTTATTCAGTGGCATCTCCACCACCACGAATTGAATTACTTGTTGCTTTGGTTAATTATCGTACACGTTTATCAACACCGCGTATTGGAACAGCTTCAAATTATTTAGCTTCTTTAAACCCTGGAGATTGTTTTAGTGGATGGCTTGGTACTGTGTCCGGTGGTTTCAACTTCGATAGACTTTTGACATTTCCACCTCCTTCTTGTTTACTTATTGCCACCGGCACTGGTATTGCACCGTTTCACAGTTTTTTGTTACATCAACATAATTGTTTCAAATCACATTTAAATCGTGATATGTTTCCAACTAATGTATTATTTTTTGGTTGCCGTTATTCTACCAAAGATTATTATTTTGCTTCAGATTTTCAAATGTTAGAAAAAGACGGTTGGCTTAAAATTATTCCAGCATTTTCACGTGAAAAAAATACATCCACACAATCGTCATCATCACGACGTCAGTATGTTCAAGATCAGTTGAAAAGCTATCCGGATATTGTTTGGTCTATACTTAAATCTTCACAAAGTCATGTATTTATTGTAGGCAATCAAAAAACTATGCCTGATGAAGTACGTGAAGCGTTAGTGTCTGCTATTGTCAGTGAAAATCATATGAATTCCAGTGATGCTGAACTTTTCTTAGATCAAATGGAAGCCGATAATCGTATACAGATTGAATCTTGGGCATAACAGTTATGTAGTATATGGAAAAAGAGATAGGTGAAAAGAATCTTATAGTGGATGCACATTCAGTTTAGTCTTTTTTTTATTCTGCATTTAACTATGTTTTTGTTCAAAGGTTATTTATAAAAATTGTAAAAAAAAAATAAATTTATAGTGAGCACATTTTTTTTTTCAAATTTTCATTCATTGTATGTTCGACTGTGCTTGCCAATATATTTGATGAGTGTATTTTGTTCGATATTTTAATGCAATAGACAATGCCGGTTGTAATTGAAATATCGTAAACACTTAATAAGTGAACTGTGTAAACGTTAGATCATTGTTTTTCTTTTGGAATGGTACTACTTTATCTGTGAAATGAAATTTTGAATTGCTTTTTAAGCTGCATTCCTAAATAAATTACTATTTGGCATGAAGTTAGAATATCACACACATCGTTAACATAGTTTGTCTTTGGATGTTTACGTATCAGACACTTTTCGTTATTGTTGATGTACATAGTCAATAAATAGACTTTTACGAACTGCGAAAACTAGGTAGTGTATCAGTGTTCATTTAAAACGCTTCATTCAGTTCATTATGATATCAGTCAATGTATTAGCGTTAACAGAATAGAATCTTTATTCGTGCATATAATCGAGACTGGATTAATTCTGAGCATTCTGATTGGTTCATCATCATATTTCTGTTTTATGATTAATGATACAGTAGTATATTTTTACAACCTTTTATCTGCTCTCAAAATAATAGGCAATTTTATATTTTTCTTCACATTGTGATGATACTTCACTGGTCAAATTTTCAGTCATTTATCATCAATATTATGATTAAATCAATTTAATCTTCACCAACCACTTCATTAAGTGAACGCATACCGGTGAAATAATTGACTTATATGAATTACTCTTACTGATTCTTTGTTCTCAGTGTTTCACTGTTATATCCAGTCTCTAATAGACTTATTGAATGCGTTTAGTTCTCTAAATTTAATTTTGTAATTTCAAACCTTTATTGTATTCAAAATTGTTGGTTGATTGCAGTCATTAACAGTAAAATTTGAAGATTTACTGTCAGAAAGATATTTATCGCGTTCGATGTGGTGTTTTTTGGAATTTAGCTGTAACATATAGATTAGTAAATATCTGACCATTCAGTAGCTAAGATGATGAATAATGAGAGAGAAGTTATGGCGATGGTTCAATTTGTACAGGAAATCATGAATCGACTGTAATTAAACATTTATTAAAAACTAAGGGGTACTAAACGTAAGTTTCACTCTAGTTTGGAACTCATCAGTAATGTACAATAACAACCCATTTGTAGAGTGATTGAAAGACATCTCATTATTAACATTTCTAATTTCAGTCGGTCTCTGTGAATGATGTAGATGAGCACTGTTGACAAGTTCTCATGCTACGACGGAATGTATATTTGGTTCTCCCTGATATTCAGTGATTATCTGTGATTTAAACATCATAGTACTAAAATGATCTAGATTGAATGAATTAAACTAGTTAAAGCTTAAAACAAAAATTTCAATCAATCATAATTAGATAAATTGAATTGACGGACTTTAAAAGGAAGTTAGATTAGCGTTGACTTTAGACATCTGAGCACGTGACCGCGGAGCCCAAGGGACAACTGCTTGATGCCGGTCACGCACGGCCATTATATGAGAAGTTTTTGAAGTGTTAGCTCTGCTCTTGTTTAAAAGGCTTTACCGCCGGAGACGGAAATCCGTGAGGTAAGGTGAGGTTTGACATTGTTAGGGTTGACCTTTTCTAAGCCCTTATTTCCTTGTGAGAAGGCAGCATCGCTGCAGATGCTGGTTGTCCGAGGGAAACACCTTACTGCTGTCACACTTCTCTACAGTGAGCAGTACAACTTCGCCTTGAGTAGCTGCTTTTAATCTGATCGTTCCCCAATCGACCTGCCTGGCATGGTAGAACCTTCAGGAACATATGTTCCAGCGAATATAGCTCGGTTGTGTCATCACGATAGGCAAAGCCGACCACCACGTTGAGGTGTTATTCATCTACAGTTGGGAATCTTTTCTCATATTAATATCAAGTCCTTTAGGTCTCAAGGTGAACATAATGATGTTAGTATTCCGTATTTAATATTGAATACCATAAATTTCCTTGTTTTTTAGTTACAATTATTAACAGAAATGTTGACTGAATTAATTTTCTCTGTATTTTATTATCATATTAGTTAGTTTTCTTACTAATAATTTAATTAATTAATTTTATTATTATTTTAGATTAACAGCATTTATATTGATTGTTTAAATAGATGGGTTCATTGAAATGTTTTATCTTAGGATTTCAAGAATTTCTTACAACACCTCTACGTTTATGGAGAATGCATTATCATTTAACACAATTCACATCAAATAATGTACATAATACTAAAATTCATGAACACCAACGTGAAAGACAAAAACGTTTACAAATTCGAATTCCCAGTTCAGATAGATTAACAAATATTGCATCACAAATTGAACATTATTCTTCTTCGTATTATTCGTCAAGTGTTGAAAAGTTATCGAAATCCAATATTGATTCAGGTATTTCACCTTCGAATTTATCACCATCTTCATTACCATCATCACCAGAATTGTCGTCGTCATCATCGTCAACAACAACAACATCTCAAATAAAACGCTCATCATCAGATTCATTGGGTTTATTGGAACCATTAGCACGAGTGTGGTTGATCAATGTAGGATTAATATTGGTAAGGAGCGTTATATTCGCATATAGTATAGTTTTAGTCCTAATGACTTAACGATTAAAGATTTGTGGAGGTTGTAGTATTGTTGCATTTGAAATCATGAACTAATTTTAGTTAGATCACCATTGGAAACCTGAAAGTGATTCATCCACGACCCTTCACATGGGAATTGGACCCAGTGCCTTCAGTCCCGCACGCAAATGCTCAACCTCAAGATCACTAGGACGGCACCCAAAAGTTAGATATTAACCATGTTGGTTACCTTCTCAGTGGTCTCAAGGTTCAGTATTTGCGTACAGGACCGAAGGCACTGGGTTCGACTCACATGTGAGGGATCGTGGATTCAGACACACCGACAGGCAGATGCAACGCAGAACTTCGTGCGTACGTACATCAATTCAGGTTTCCATACCGCATTAGCACAGAGACGCAACTGTCAGTTCAAATCCCGTAAAAGTAAAGATAGTAGAAGTATTAGCAGTGATGGAGAAGATTAGGGTACGAAGATATGATTCGAGAAGTATAATTCAGTGAGATAAATTTAGAAACAGAAAGATAGAGATGATGAGGAACTCAGGTTAGAATTTGAAAGAATACAAAGAGTGAATGCACCTGCGCCATTGCAAATGATTTTGAACCATGTCGTTCAAGGTCTCTAACCGTCGGTGAGTTTCGTCTGGCGGACCCCAACCAGGTAGTCTGTATCTACCAACATAACTCAGTCTACTTGTCAGTGATTTCATGGATTTGTTCTATGTTTTGGCTTGGTTAACCGTAGCTTTCTTCTAACCTACTCCGACACCAGAAAACATTCCTCGTCGAGGCAGTCGGTGGTTGAACATGCGTAACATATGTCCCAACCACCTCAACTGATGAAGTTTCAATGCTTCATCAATTGATCTGCCATCCCTACCTAGTACTCGTTTCCTAACGACAGCATAATCGCTCGGTTCTCAGTCAAATAGCTTGTCCCTGTTACCATGGCTCAGTTTAACAGTCAGTAATCACAGAATTTTTAATGCTACATTTCTGTTTAACTTAGCTGCGTATATGCTCATTAATTGATCTTAGACAGTTTTATTTCATTAGGACAATATATAGATAATCATAAGTTTAAAAGGTTTTGTGTAGAAAAAAATACCTACTTCTGAATGATACTTTTCATCTGATTGATTTTCTTTCAATTTATATGATTACTCTAAGACATCACAGGATCATATTAAGTTGAATGGTATAAATTTTGTTTTTCTCTTTACATCATTTGTTTTGATGTTTTTTTGTCACATGATAGGTAACACTATGTAATTTTTATTTAGTTTATTGTCTCTTTTCTTGTATTGTGTTTCTCTTTGTTTTTCCCTTTTCTACTGGATTTTAGGTATTAGCCATAGTCTTGTATATCTTTTCATTGATTCCATTGAACCCATCACTTGGTAAGTTATGATTATGTTCTGTCTAAAAAAAATAATAATTCATCATAAACTTAACTAAGTAAGGGTGGCAAATCAAAAGATGAAGTCGTGAAACTCCGTCAGTTGAAGTGGTTGGGACATGTGTTGCGTATGCCTAACCACTGACTGCCTTATCGAGCTATGCTCAGGTGCATTCATTCTTTGTTTTCTCTCAAATCCTAACCTTCTGAATTCCTCCTCACCTTCATCTTTTTCTTTTAAAATTTATTTCACTATATTCTTTTTCTTGAATGATATCGTCGAACCCTAACATTTCCGATTAATGCTAATACTTCTACCATCTCTACTACTATGGGATTTGAATTGAAAGTTGCCTCTCTGTGCTAATGTGTTATGGCAACTTGAACTGATGTGCGTACATACAAAGTTCTATGTTGCTGTTGACTGACTGATTAACTGATCTTAACTTCAAGTAATCAAATATAGATTTGTGAACTCCAATTTGACTGTGATACTTTGTGCACAATATGAAATTGTTTGTACTGTTCGATTGTCATTCTCTTGTAGGTCCGTTGTATTTTTAGTGGAGGTATACCAGTTTGTGTGTGCTGCGTTATGTTCCTCGTTGGGCTGAACACTTTTTCAATGCGTTTGACTCGATGTAGGGCTCATTACTTTATTGGCCAATGGGCTGACTCCTTTATTTATGACATTCGAGTATGGTATGAAATAAATATCCCTTTCAGTGTCCGTATGTCATACTTAGACGAACGCTGTTTGTGCGATGGCGGTTTTGAGCTACATCACTCAAGGTCTCTGACTGTCGGTTACTATCCTCTCACAGACCCCCTCAAAATCCTTGTCTTCTCGCAAATTCTAACCTCTATCTTTCTCTTTTTAAATTTATTTCACTAGATTATGCTTTTCGAATAATAGCTTCGAACCCTAATCTTTTGGATTATTCCTCATACGTCTACTACCTCTACCATTCATTATAGAATTCGAATTGACAATTGCATCTCTGCGCTAATGTGGTATAGCAACTTGGACTGATGTACGTACATTCTAAGTCCTACGTTGTGGCTGACTGACTGACATTTATTCGCTTTTTCCAAGTGGTTTTAATAAAATATGATTTATCTAATAATTCAAGTGATGAAATCAAAGTCATGCCGTACGGTGAACGCTTTTTTCCATTTTTTTTTCCTTTTGTCCTAAACTGTGTTTAATAGATCTAACTGTCATTAAATATGTCTAATCATATTCTAAGCAGTTAATTCCCTTTATTTCTATCGAATTAAACTGATTGGTTTGATTGAATAGATCGTTTATTAAGTTCTATGTTATCATTTTGGATAAATTCTCTTCAGATTTTACATATATATATATATCTAACTTAATATACAATAATTATAAGATCTGAAGAGAATTTATTGAAACTAATATTGTTGATTTCGACTATTAGTTCGAATGATATGATTGTGTGTTTCATGAATGTTTGGTTACGAACTTCAAGATAATCTAATGTGTATGCGTTGTATTAAAAAGAGAATGCTTTATTTCTTAGAAATTGTACCGAGATTTACCAAAGAATAAGTTGGGTTCGAACTTAGGACTAAGGGTTTGGAAGTCGAGAATTCAGAGTTAGCCAACTTCGAAAGCGCACAATAATTTGTTAAAGAGAACAGGATCTATGATTTGAGCAGAATAACATGAATTCGTTTCATTTCATCTGGTCTTAGTTAGCTGTTTACAATCTGTAATATTTAAAAAACATTACAAAATGGGTTTAAATTGTTTACATAACACACATCAGCATAATGTAGCAGGCATGTCACTTGTTATGCAGTATTCATTAAACAGAATTTATCCAGTAGCCAAACTATTATTACTGAATAAAACAACATGTTCAATGACTCAGTCAAATGTCAACAAACACCCACTTTTACATTACTGCCAACTGTGTCCATAGATTTATGTGTACCTGTCGAAGCAAATATATAGATTGAACTGAAAGAAGGACATATCTTGGATTTTTTTGAATTTGTTCCAAAAAGTCTTCAAACAAGAGAAAAGACTGCTGAACATATCTTGGATACAAGATATCAGGTTGCTACGTTGCAATCCTTCACGTTAATTGATGAATAGCCATGCTTCAGTTTTCTGAAGCCGTCGCTTACAGGTGCTTGAATCCTAATTTATTCGAGATGATTATTAGTCTTTCTTTGCCTTTGTGACAAACACTCGTTCATTACATCATACGATTTTGTCCAACTCTTTCTTTCGATTCATCACATCAGTATATTTTTCACTTTTGTTGACCTACTTCACACATTTTAAATAATCAATCAGAGTTAGACATTAATACCGTTTTATGCCGGCCCAGTAGTCCGATGGTTAGGCGTTCGCGCACAATACCGAAGGTCCCGGGTTCGAATCCTGCGAGGTGCAGGAGTCGTGGATGCGCACTGCTGATGAGTCCCATACCAGGACGAAACGGCCGTCCAGTGCTTCCAGGTTTCTAATGGTGGTCTAACAATGATTGATTGATAATTTCAAATGTGTAAAAACACAAACCTCCAAAACTCTGACCTACTTTAACCAGCTGAGCTTTACTCATTTCGTTCTTACATTAAGCGTTTGTTCATTACCTGTGTACTTGTTTCTAGCCTTTTGAACTTTAGTTAACATCAATCCTGTATAACGTCCTTTCACAGAAGATGTATATTTACCACAATGTGTTCAGTTGATTCAGTTTTCTTACATCCTTGTTATTCTAAACTGATGTTTGATGTCAGCAATTTAAACCCACATTGTGATGATGATTTTTAAATGTTGCCTGTTGTAAACAGCTGACTAGAACCAGGTGAATTAAAATGACTTCATGTTATTCTGCTCAAATATTAGTTCTTACTCTCTTCAACAAATTCTGTGCTCTTTCAAAGTGGGATAAGTTTGAATCCTTGACTTCCAGTCCCTTAGTTCAAGGTTCGAACCTCACTCAACCTACTTTGATTTGGGAACTGAGTAGTATTTGATAATTATAGTTTGACTCAATCAGATACATGTCATATGTAGCATGTTGATTGTGATCAAGTTGATCTCGTGTGATGGTCAGGTTATGATGGTGGATGTTGCCCATATCTTTGGAGTGTATTTCTTGAGGAACATGAGAGGCAAGTTTGTTTTAGCGGCCGGTAGCGTGACCTCAGAGCCCAAAAACAACTGCTTCAAGCCAGTCACGCACAACCTACTAATGGGGGAGTTTGTAAAGTGCTAGCTCCACTCTTCAAAACGCCTTACCACTGTAGACAGAAATCCGTGAGGTAAGGTAAGGTGTGACATTTTTAGGGTCGACCTATTCTAACCCGTTCTTTGTGAGAAGGGAGCATCACTGCAGATACTGGTTGTCCGAGGGAAACACCTTACTGCTGTCACACTTCTCTACAGTGAGCAGTACGACTTCGCCCTCAGACCTGGAGTTGCTTCTTTAAGTCTCATCGTTCTCTAATCGACCTGCCTGGCATGGTAGGACCTAAAGCAATATATGTTCCAGCCAATATAGCTCGGTTGTGTCATCATGATAGGCCAGCCCGATCACTATGACAAGGTAGCAGCTGTGGTTGGGAACTGGGCATAATCCCATCTCATTGCTCTTAATCACTGATTGTCCCGGTATATTTCGTTGTTTAAGGTCTTAAGTTGTTTTTGTCTATTTCTGTAGAAGTTAGTTAATTTGATCAATCTATATTCAACATACATCTTACAATAGTATTTCGATTCCATAGTTTTTTTATATGTATTTATTTATTACCTCTCTTCATGTCAGTCTTATGGTTCAAGTCTTCACGTGTCTGTCAATTCGTTCACCGATTATGTTCATGCAGTGTGCATATAGCATTGCTCTTATTTATGGAATTAGTTAATCTTTTATATTTAAAAGTAAGTTTGGTAAAGTTTTATTATTCTCTTTAATCAGAGTAAATTAACTGAATTATATATTTATGTCTAATGTAATAACCGGATACTTACACATCGACCATAGTTTGAGGTATTCCTTGCTTCGAATACCAATATACTGGATACCACGTTAATTCCTTTCTATCGTCCACTGTCTAATATAATCGAATGAGGCTGATCATATGAACATAGTATAAATGCTACTTAGTTTATGTTCTGTTGACAAATCTTGTTATGAACAGTGTTAATATAAAAAGTCAAATACAAGTGTTCCGGATATTTCTATTTCATATATTCATTTTGACAGACAGATGAAAAAATAAGAAGCAAAGAATGTAGATGAATCTGAGGTGTGCCGATTTAATGCGTGTTCTTACGTTTCGTGATAAGCTCGTTCAGACTACCTTATCCAATTGACGTCTGACGGTTAATAAATCAGAAGATGAATTCCAAGTAGCGTATACGTTTATTGAAGCACACCACAATTAATAACAGCAGACCACAGACAGACCGGGCAGACAGACTAGCGAGTGAATATGCGAATGTGCGAATGTGCGAATGTGCGAATGAATTAATAAGATAAAAATGTTCGTATATATACAAAGGAAAATGTCTGAGTCATCGTGTTATTTAAGAGATTAATATTAAAGCGAATAGGATGCATATATGCGTAGGCGTTAAGCAATGCTCAGTCATACTGTAGTGAATGAGAACACAGGTGGGGGCAACCGAATTGTATTTAACGAAAATTACAGAGTTAGTCAGTAAAATCGGAAAACCATATCGTAAATCGTTCATTTGCAAAAGATCAGTTCATACTATGGAACTGGACTGTTCCTGTTGCCAAACATCAATCCATTGTCACTCTTCATGCGTTTCATACAAATTCCATTGTTTTCTGACTCTTCCTTTCTTGATCTTCCCCCCATATTATGCTACCAGACTTTACGCTGACACTCACGCTATATACTACTTATAAGTAGTTCGCAACACAGCACCACACTCGTCCCCCCTTTTAATAAGCTGTCGTCGTGGTCCTTCAAAACAGAGCTCCTGGTCAGTTAATATCACCTTCCGTATTCCGTGACACGCTACACTATGCCGGATTACCACTTCGGTCATCGTTCTTGATCACTGGTCTGGAATGGATACGGCATCTATCCAACGTGTAGCGTCCACAAGTTCCCGATGCTGGAACACGGCGGCAGGCACACACTCGATAAATTGCGACGCCAAAGACTGTGCCCCGTCCACTCCTCACGGTGCAATCCGGTGAGCTCCACAGCAAGCACCAACAGGTCACCATCGGCCGACAGCCGCGCCAACCGGGACCTCTGCGGCGCCTCCTCCCTGTCCGCTGGGCTGTCGAACTCCATTATCAGCCGCCCGGTGACCGTCTCCCACGCCGTCTCCTTGGTGGCACCGTCCAGGCTGTTGTGCACCGCCTTTTTTTGTTCAAAATATTGTACGTTTCAATTCACGAATACTGATAAGTTCGTCACTTAGTATGCTTGAGGCTATTACGAGTTTACCTTAGTCGATAAACGCGAACGAGACTTTTACCAGCTTCCAGGAGGCTACCCTTGATCCCAGAATTGAATAGAAGGCTTTGTAGCGTAGAAAGTATATTCTACAAGCACCCAGCAATCACAGTACAATCAAGCATACAACTCTCGTTTATTTATACAACATAACAACGTCCTTGAGACAGTTAAGAAAATAGCATACTAAAATACACTGTAGCCAATCACAGCCATTGATTTTGCTGGTGGGAATTGAAATCTCAAGGTCATTGATCAGCCCCTGCTGGCGAAACGTGAAAACCAAAATACGGCATTATCAAGCGAATTTTGGGGATCTAACATCCCCAACACTCCTCCCCTTTTTAATAGCTTGTTCTCCTGGGGTCGACTTGCATCTTGACTATTGTTCGCCGCTGTCTGAGGGGATACCTTCGGGAACGAAGAACAGCTTGCTGCTGAGTTTCTTCTCGTGGCGGGGCTCTCGGTAGGTTGAAGGTATCAAGCAAGATGTCAAGGGGAAGGCTTTCTACTCTGATGGGCGATCTGGGGCTAGCAGTCTGCGTATCTGATTCCGATGACGTGATCATTTATCACCTCCTACCTCTACTTCGTACATAACTCGACCAACCCTTCTGACCACTCTCGTTTCTACCTAGGACCATGGTTTGTTCTGTAGTCGCGGGCAAACACAGGGCATCCTACTTCGTAAGCGGATTGTCTTTGCTGCTTTGTCTCTACTGATGAGGGTGCATTAGTCGGATGCATCAGGCTGTGGATCGTTTTCAATCTTCTTCCCATCAGGATTTCAGCTGGGGACTTTTGCTCCGGTAACAATTCATTTGGTGTTGTCCGATAGACGTACAAGAAATTTTGTAACGCTTCGGCTGGCGTCCCCTCCCCTTTTGACTTAAGCAGTGCTCTTTTAAACGTATCCACAAACCTTTCCGCCTGCCCATTCGATTGCGGGTGGTATGGTGGCGAGCGTAAGTGTTTAATGGCTAGCCGTTGACAGAAATTCTGGAATTGGGAAGAGGTGAATTGAGAGCCATTGTCGGATACGATCACATCTGGTATGCCGTTTCGTGAGAAAATTTCAGTTAGGAGCTGTATAGTCTTAGTTGTAGTGGGCGGCATAACGGGGCTGATTTCCGGCCATTTAGAAAAGGCGTCGACGACAATTAAATACATAGTTCCATTTATTGGGCCAGCGAAGTCGACATGTATCCTGGACCAAGGATGCTCAGGTTTGGGCCATGAAACCGGCGGAATTTCGGCATTCATCTTTGCCGCCTGCTGACACCGCATGCATTTTTCAACCAACGCTGTGACATGTTGATCCATGTGAGGCCAGTATGCATAACTCCTGGCTATGGACTTCATTCGTTTAATCCCAGGATGACCAAGATGGAACTGTCTCAGCACTTTTGCACGAAGGGATTCTGGCACCACTACTCTTTCACCAAACATCAGACAATCGTTCACGATGCATAGTGACTCCCGCCGCTGATACAGTTGCTTCATGTCACCTTCAAACTTTTTCGACGGCCAACCGTTAGTGACATATTTCATCGTCATCTTGATGATGGGGTCGTTTCTAGAAGCATTTTGTATGTCTGTTGCAGACACCGGTAATGCGCGAACTGCGGTTGTCAGATAACATTCTGCGTGGTCTTCTACTGACAGAGATGCGATCACCATGTTTTCCTCAGCCGCCACTTGATCATTAATGAGTCGTGACAAAGCGTCTGCTTGACCGAATTGTAGAGTACGTCGATATTGGATTTCGAAATCATACCCCAAAAGTACCAAGGCCCATCGCTGAAGACGATTTGCAGAATGGGCTGGAATGCCAGACTTTGAACCAAATATTGCTAACAGAGGCTTGTGATCTGTGAGGAGCGTGAATCTCCGACCGTACAGAAACTTATGGAAACGGCGAACAGCAAACACAAGGGCAAGAGCTTCTTTCTCTATCTGGCTATACTTCTTTTCTGCTGGGGTCAGTGTACGGGATGCATGCATAACGGCTTTTTCTGACGCGTCTGGAAATTGATGTGAAATAACAGCACCTAGGCCATATGCTGAAGCGTCTGCTGCTACGATGATCGGCATGGATGGATCGTAGTGTGTTAATAACAATTCCGAGCTAATTATAGACTTGAGTTTACCAAAAGCCGCGTCACACTCTTTAGTCCAGTTCCATGTGCTATGCTTCTGCAGTAGACAATTCAATGGAGCGCGAATATCATGCATCGAGGGAACAAAAGCTGAATAATAACTGATTAAACCGAGAAAAGATCGTAATTCGGAAACATTAGTGGGAGTGGGCATCAGTTTGATAGCTCGGATGTTTTCAGGATCCGGTCTGCGACCGTCGGCATCAAAGATGAATCCCAAATACTTTACCGACTGCAATAGAAACTGGCATTTTTCTGGGCGTAACCGGAAACCATTGTCACTGATGCGTTGTAGTACCAATGTCGTGCGTTCCCGTAGCTGTTCTAACGTCTTCGCAACAATCAAGATATCATCGAGATAAGCTGCAACCCCTGAGATATCTGACAGGATAGTATCCATTAGTTGTTGGAAGATAGATGGGGCAGTCTTAACTCCAAAAGGTAGACGGTTATACTGGAACAAACCACGATGAGTGTTGATAGTAAGCAGCTCTTTAGATGCTTCATCGACTTCCACTTGCAAATAAGCATCAGCTAGGTCAAGCTTTGCGAAGAACTTTCCTCCATTCAGCATAGTGAACAGATCTGCTGGGACTGGCAGAGGATAATGATGCTGTTCTAGAGCTGCGTTGAGACCTGTAGAGAAGTCAGCACATATACGTATCGTGCCGTTGGCCTTCTTGATAACGACTATAGGTGCTGCCCAACTGGAGTAAGAAACGGGAGTAATAACTCCTTGTCGTTGAAGGCGATCCAGCTCTTCATCTACTGTTGCTAATGTAGCATACGGTACAGGTCTCTTTGGACGAAAAGCAGGCTTAGCCCCATGTTTCAACCGAAGTGTTGCTTTCATAGCAGTGCACCGACCTAATCCAGGTTCAAAAATGGTTGAAAACTCTGTCATCAGCTTCTTCGTATATGCTTCGGGGTCATGTGGTTGTGATACCAGGTTGCATATGGTATTTAACGGGACATCAGCCAATTTTAGCTGGTCGAACCAATCTAATCCAAGTAAATTTAGATCAGCTGGCGTTATATAGCATACCCCAGTAAACGAAGAATCTCGGAAAGCAACTTTACATTCCAATTGTCCTAACAGACGAAGATAATTACCACATGCTGTACGAGGCTTTTGTGTTGTGTGCTGCAGGCTTGGGCTACCCAATTTGGTCCAATTTTTGCGTGAGAGGATAGTGACATCAGATGCAGTATCTATTTGCATTCTACACAAATAACCGTTAATATTAAGAGTAATAAATTTCCTCTCACCTGGTGATGAGCTTTGGCAGGAAGATATTAGGCTCAATGCATTGGTACTGGATCTAGGAACAGGCTTCTTAGCACTTCTGGATCGCTTTGGCTTTTTCTGTAGGCAAAAGCCATCTTTATGACCGATGACTTTACACTTCCTGCATCTATGCTGCCTAAATGGGCAGTTCCGTACATAGTGCCATGAACCGCAGTGCCAGCAAGCAGAAGGTGGATTCATTTTGGGTTTTTGGGCAGAATTGGAGCGGGATGAACTGGGTGTAGCATGGGCAGACTTATAATGATTAGGTGGCTGCTGTACCAAATGAATTTCAGATCGGCTTGAACTACCACTCTGAACTATAGTCGAGTCTCGTTGTAGGTTAGTGAGACGTTGGTACTCATGAGCCATATCATTAAGCGTAAGCTTCGGATCTTGCTCCAAACGACTTAGTAGCCTTGTTCTAATGTCACTGAACTTACTCGACTGGAGGCTGCAGATGAGTATAAGGGCTTTGAACTGATCTTCCGACAAAGACTTCAACCGAAAGCGTTCGCATTCACGGTTGACGATGCCCACGTGCGTAAGAAAATCATCATCTTCGTTCATAATTAGCTTCAAACATCGATAACGAGTATTAAATAGTGACGAGTTGTCTCCAAAGTGTTGGCTTAAAGTCTGGACAGTCTCAGAAAATGAACAATCTCGTGGGTTCAAAGGCAGGATCAAATTACAGTACTTATCCAGCTCACTTGCGCCCAACTTTCGAAGTAGCAGCCGAACCTTCCAAGCATCATCTTGGTTGGCGAAATCAAATTTAAATAAATCTTCATAACGCCGGAACCACATGTCAAAAGTGACATTTGCATCAGGATCATAATGAAATTCAGATATGCTATTTGCGATGCCGTCGACCGATGGAGCTGTGGTTGCATTAGATGAGCTGGGCTGCGTGGAAGGGGAAATCTTCATGTCTGTCAACATCTGCATCAGTTTCAGCTGCTGCTCAAGTAGTAATTCAAGTTTGGCAGGATCCATATTTCCAAAAGCACCGTCGCCACTGATAAGTTCGTCACTTAGTATGCTTGAGGCTATTACGAGTTTACCTTAGTCGATAAACGCGAACGAGACTTTTACCAGCTTCCAGGGAGGCTACCTTGAATCCGAGGCTGAAGTGAAAAGTCTTTGTAAGCGTAGAAAGTATATTCTACAAACACCCAGCAATCACAGTACAATCAAGCATACAACTCTCGTTTATTTATACAACATAAGAACGTCCTTGAGACAGTTAAGAAAATAGCATACTAAAATACACAGCAGCCAATGACAGCCATGGATTTTCCTGGTGGGAATTGAAATCTCAAGGTCATCTGATCAGCCCATGCTGGCGAAACGTGAAAACCAAAATACGGCATTATCAAGCGAATTTTGGGGATCTAACATCCCCAACAAGCTTGTTAAGACTGTCGACAGTATATAGTTCTCTTAGGATCGTACGACTTTACAGTGTGTACTTATCTGTTGGGAATGTAGATCGGTGACTTTGTAGTTAAAGTGTTTTTAATTTCAATGACAAAGTCATAGGTTCCAAACGCTGATCCACTTAATTCAGTTTGAGGAACCTAGTAGTTACACTACCCTTTAAACAAAAAGAGGTGGCCCTCAGTCGTGCACACAGTCAGTCAGTCAGTTGCAACGTAGAACTTCGTACGTATGTACATAAGTTCATGTTGCCATACCACATTAACACAGAGACGCAAATGTCAGATCAAATCCCATAGTGATAGAGATAGTAGAGGTATTAATGGTAAAAAAGAAGACTAAGGTTCGAAGATATTATTCAAAAAGTATAATTCAGTGAGATAAGGTTAGAAAGACATAGGTAGAGGTGCTGCCAATTCCAGAAGATTAGGATTTCAGAGAGCACAACGAATGGATGCACTTACGCCATTGCAAACGATTTTGAGCCATGTCGTTCAAGGTCTCTAACTATTGGTGACTATCGTCTCGCGGACCCCAACCACGTAGCATACATCTACCAACATGACTCAGTCCACTAGTCAATGACTTCATGGATTTGTGCTATGTTTTGGTTTGTCCGCCCCTAACTTTCTTCCAACCTACTCCTACACCACAAAACATAGCTCGTCGAGGCAGTCGGTGGTTAGGCATTCGTAACACATGTCCCAACCACCTCAACTGATGAAGTTTCACCACTTCATCTATTGATCTGCCATCGTTACCTAGTACTCGTTTCGTAACGACAGCATTGCATACTCGGTTGTCCCATGAGTCGTGCGCACAAACTTCTACTTATTGTTTAGGATAATAATGTTTCATTTTAGTCGAAATCAATTCCTCTTCTTTGGTTCGCATCTTGTTTATCTCTCTCTCTTTCTCCTATCATCACTGTGATAATTTGAAGTGTACAAGTGTCAACCGATACACACCTCCTCCTGTCTTATCCTACATTGAAGATAATTGTGGACAATTTTACATTGAAATGAGAAAAGAATTTGTCATTCAATAGAATACCTTTTTTTTATCTAACAATAATTCTGATCAGTTTGTAATAGTTCTTGTTTTGTTTTTTTTTTGTCTAACCTTTCATTAGGTACAACATTTGAAGGTTTTCTAAGTCGAATTATTGATAATTGGACATATTTCTTTGGTTATGGTCTACCACTTGGTTGTGCATCAATTATATTTCCACATTTTATTGGTTGGGGCGGTGTTATTCTAGCCATTGGTTATCCACTTCTTGTTATTGGTGCATTAGGCAGTAGTAGTTGTTTGCATCCATTCGATATGATGAATATGAATTTAAAAAATGAATGGAAATTATTTCGTTTATTGCGTTATTGTTTAATGATTTCACTTCGACCAGCATTATGGATATCGAATTTAGTTGTACAAACTACAGCATGGTTAGTTTATCAATTTTGGTTTCGACAAAACTATTCACTTCATGTTGATTGATAATAACCTAATGCTGGTAATAATATTGAACGTTGACAATGATAAAATAGATTTGCCCTTGAAACAATGAATAGATCATATGTTTCATGTATACAACAATGATTGCGTTCAAGGTCATTTATTTCAATGTTCAAAGTTTCGTTCATTCATTCATTCGTTTAATAATGAGAGAATATGTTTGGTTTGGAAATTTTCAATGTGAAAACCTGGGAATGAATACCAGATTGACATATATATATATTGACTTTTATCTATTTTCTAATCCCATTTAGAATTTCATTTTTTATTTATTTTTTGGTTCTCAGATAATAATAATAATAATGATAATCAGTTCTAATTGCCCTAGTTAATTTTGTTCATTGTGTTACCATTTTATTGTCTTGTCTATTTTTGTTTTCAAATGTGAATTCTGAATTTCTTTTTTCTTGGTGACAAATCGTTTTGTTTTGTTTTTCTCTTTTTTTCGTTGTACAATTTTTTTTTCATTTTACATTTTTTATTTATGCAGTTGTGTCGTAACTCTCATGCTTTAATTGTAAACAGCTGAATGATTGAGCAGTAATACTCTATATAGAGAGGGAGACAGTGTGTGTGTGTGTGTTTGTGTGTAGAAGAGTCATTCACCCTCCAGATATGGAGGAGATTCGTGAATTCGTCTTGGAGACACACTCCTTGATTGATTGTCATAGCCAACTGTACTACTACCCGGTTGTCTAAATTAAAATTTTGATGCCGAATCGGCTATATAAAACGTGTAGTTAGTTTAGGTATGCAAAATTTAACGGCTTAACTGCTGAATACTACTTGATTTGATCACTATTTATTGGATGATATCAAGTAGATGATAGATGTCAATGTTCAACATGTGTAATTAATTATTAGTTATGATTTTCTTGTTTACTATCATTATTATTATTATTATTATTATTATTATTATTATTGTTCAGTCTTTTCAATTGTTTTTATTATTTTTCATGTTTCATTTGTTTATTGATTGTAACAAATTGACATAATTTCTTTAGGAATTTGTATTTATATATATATATATATATCTTGCCATTATTTTACCATCTTTCTATGATGGTAGCAAAGTCATCTTTTCCCCTTAAAATCATTGTCAATCCCCTGTCAACAAAGTAGTAACCATATATATATATATATATATATATATATATATATATATATATATAATACAAAAGACTTATAATCATTTGTACATGCTTGTGTTGCTGTTTTTTTGTGTGGTTTTATTATTATCAAAGAAATTCTATTTACTCTCATTGAAATCATTTGTAAATTATAATGAATTAACGATTGTATTTGTATTCTATTTGAATACTGCAAAAATAATGTATATTTGTTAGTTATTTGTTATGCTTGGATGCTATTACGATAAATAAGAGCGAAGACAAATGATCCAGTGACACGATAGGCTACTCTTGTGGTGTGACGATTTATTGATCTTCTGTGGAGACGAATCGGTGAGCGAAGCGAATTGGGGAGTGATATGAATGAACGACGGGCTCACCATTTTGTAGTGTGTCGATTTACTGCGTGTTCTTAAGCTCGGTTTATAAATCAGAACATGAACTCGTAGTGATGAATACGTTTATTCGTGATACACCACAAAGCGAAGCGGAGAAGCAGTGAATAAAGCGAATGGGCGAATGAAGCGATGTGGAGAAGGCTAAGAGTCAACTCAAAGAGATAGGGTATGACTAAGACTATATAGTCAGACAGTAATAAGACAGACATATGACAGGCGAAATAGGCATGCACAGACATGAATAAAAGCGACGAATGACTGGCAAGGTCAAAAGCAAGCGATACAAATCATGTGAGTTCTTGAGGATACTAAGAGATTAACATTAAAGCAAAAAGGATGAGTCAGCGCGTAGGCGTAAACAATACTCAGTCGTACAAGCTCATACAAACCATATAATAAAAAATACCAATGGTACATATGAGTTGTTGCTATACAAATAGCTTGGTTGCATAAATTAATCGAAAGGCTCAATCAAATGAAATATGAGCGAACTGGAATATATGTGGAGGCACTACACTCTAATCCAAGCACGCATTAACAGTATCAAAAAGTCTTGATATGGCGTAGAAAGTGTATTATAATACATGCACACAGAAAATGAGAGGTTTTGTACAGAAGATTAGGAAGAAGAGGAACATCAAACTTTACAGACAATGCATATTTATACAGTCAGGTCGACCGTGAATAACTAACCAATAGGAAAGAATATGTAAAAGTATGTGAACTTGATAGTTTAGGACGACCTTAAATATTGACCAATAGAATTAGACTTACAAAATAATTTCTTTAGGATATTTGATGAATCTCCTAACATTATTCTTGTATGTTGGTTTTATATTTTCACTTATTATTAATTTAAATCATTCAATTCATTTGGCTTATTTGGTGTCTGAATTGTTGTATTAATCTTATTAAATGCCTAGGTGGTCTTTATTTACCCAGACGAAGAAGAAATCTAGGGTTGGCCAAATCGAAATATGGCACAAATCCATGAAATCATGTTATTAGGTGTAGACTACCTGGTTGCTGACCGCAAGATAGTGGTAGTCGGTGTTATTGACTCGGAATGATACGGCTCAAAGTCGTCTGCAATGACGCAGGTGCATCCATTCTTTGTCTTCTCTCAAATTTTAATCTTCTGAATTCGTCATAAACATTTTTCTCTTTTGGAATTTATTTCTCTGGGATATACTTGTCGAATCATATATTCGAACCCTAATCTTCTCCATTGCTGCTACTACTTCTATTACCTATATTACTACGGGATTTGAATTGACAATTCCATCTCTGTGTGCTAATGTGACATGGTAACTTGAACTGATGTGCATACGAACGTACGATGTTCTACATTGTAACTGACTGACCAGTTTACCTAGAATAATTACAAATTTAGATTTTTCACAAAGGAAAATATTATCCAGAATTTTAAGCCAATTAGCACAACTGCTCTACAAAGAATGATTTCGTCGCTACCCCCCAAATATATAATTCTTTAGTTACGTGAACTTCTCAATAGTGTGTTAAGAAGCATGAATGCCATCAAAGGATTCTGTCAGTTTTGAAAAATTAACTTGGATTTCGATTGTATATAAAATTTTTGTTATGCCTAGTTGTATATAAAATTTCTCTGAATACAACAGAACCCTTATTATTCAACTGCACACTATATTACCCTTCCATTTTGATCACATGGATGAAGGCAAGAATTAATTGACTTAATTTCAACTTTTAGCTACTTCGTTTGGTGATAATTCATTACTATGTTAATTAGACTTTTAAGCGATCGACTCTACTGCACGAAACATATCAGCTTGAAAATATCGTCGAGGTTTAAAACAACCACAATGAGTTATTAGCCAGTTCTTAGTCAATCAGAATACAGTTTTTATGAATGAAAAGCAAACTATGGCATCGGGAAATTTAAACCGACTTGTCTAATTAATAAGTCTACTGATCTTCTGCAGATTACCGTGGATGTAAACTGCAGAAACAATGAAATTAACTCATCCTGATGGATATACACTGATCATCTTCTGGAAGTCATACATAATCCTTATATAGTTTCTAGGTAGAATTAGGTGTTTAGCATAAGGGTTCAGGATTGCAATTTTCGTTCACAGGCTGACAGCTCCGTAGCCATATGAATGAATGATCCTCACATAAAAATATAAGGTGGTGTCTGATTACTTCATCCATAAACTCTATTAAGGGTTTAGGGATAGATTGTTGTATACAATCTAGAGACAGAATCGAGCACTTTAACAGTACTCATTATCATAAAATATTTGAATTTCGTTCAAAAATCTCGTTCCCGACTCTGATTGGTTTATTCACAAAATGCGCTTTTACTGAGTGTTCTAGTAATGGTAGACTGTCGAAGTTCATGGACATATTTGTCAGTAATATCGTCGCTAAAATGTATTAGTTAATATTTATCTTACCCATCACTTGAAGGTATAACAAAACTTCCCCTGGTTTGACCTAATAAACAGAATTGTTCAAACAAACAACTAATAGAGAGACGTACCTAAAAAACTATAACAACTTGACTAATTGCAATACGTTTCGTGCTAAAATATGGTATACTCTACAATTATTAAGTACAAAATCAGTGACAAATTAATTTACTTATTGAATTCTATTGATTATCAAATCAGTCAGTGTAAATATCTTAGTCCAAATGAAGGTCGGTGTGGTTGCTTGAATGTCTTTATAACTATGACATTAGATGAGATGGGGAATCAAATCACATCTAAAGTCTCAGTTCCCTAAGGATTAACTATCTAATACTAAGTTTACCTCAATGATTTGTGCTTGTTAATTGGCTACAACCACGTAATATAGTACTTCAACTCATTTTTTAAATTTTTAACATGGGTTTTAAAATAACCAAAGATTTTTTTTAAAATTTTTTATCATCCCTAAAATAGGAGAAATGAAGCGGAAAAACAATTTGATTTCAAATGAAAAAGTAAAAAAACCTCGCAAAAAAAGTTTACTGATGATGGATACGGTGTTGGTTCAGAAAACTCCGATAAGTCCATTCATTGTTCTGCGTTCCGACTATTCGAATTTCAACGCTATTATCTGCAAAACTCAACAATGTTTGCATATTTGTTTTGTCTACTTATAAGTAGTATAAAAATGTTACATAAAATTAGTCGTAAAATTGTAAGATCAGCAATATCAATATAAATTTTCTGAAACTATTACCATTAGGTTAAGTATTTCCATACATATATAATTCAAGTAAATAATAAAAAAAGTTAAATTCTAAAGAAAATCAACAAAATATCTCCATAACAGTGGACAAATTAAAAGTAGATACATGTTTATTGATTTGACATGGGAGGTATTACACAGATCTTTATTACAACAATTTACTGTGAATTGTACTGATTTAAAACTCCAATAAAGCCAATTCGATAATGGTTTACAATGTTTTACACATTGTCTTGTAGCTATTCCTCCTAAGAAATAACGTGAATGTTCTATAGTCTATAAAAAGTTTGTGTAAATTTTTTTTTTGGAAGAAAACAAAATAAAACCATTTCAGAATGTGATATAGTTGTTTGTGTATTAAATAAGCAACACTTTTATATAATTGGTTTAAAAATCGTTCAATTTTCAATACTAGATAAGTTTATTTTAATAGTCTTGTCGAATCTAAAGTGTAGGGTGAAACTGATGAAATCTTAGCGCGGATACAGAAAGCTCGATTCGCTTTTGCCAATTTACGCCATTTATGGCGTAGGCGAGATATTTGTTCGATAACCAAGG